CTCAGGCTGGTTTCGAACTCCTGAGCTCAAACAATCCGCCCGCCTCGGCCTCCCAAAGAGCTAGGATTACAGGCGTGAGCCACCGCGCCCGGCCCAACCAAGTTCTTGAAACCATTTAGGACATCTCCCCTTCTCTCTCTTATGCCCAACAGAAGGAGAATCCAGAATCAGGCTACCACAAGTCTTAAATGTTAGCGACACACCATACATGCGGAATATACAGTGATAATCAGCTTTTGCCTCAGATAGATTCATTCACCATAAACAAGCCTGGTATGTAGTAGGTGTTCAAATATTTGCTAAATGACTAAAGAGATCAACAGTAGGTTTCCACATGAATGTCCTGTTTCAAAAACATTGATCCAAAAGAGGCAGGGGACAAGAGTGTCTCAGAGAATAACGGTGACAGTAACGATAATGAAAACACCAGCAAACCAGATAGCATTCACTGTGCACCTGGCCCCGTTCTACAGGCTTCCCAGGCATTGGCTCATTTCAGCCTCATAGCCCCCTCAGAGAGGTGAGACTGTATTTAATCCCATTTCACACGTGAGGGAATTAAGGCACACAGAGCTTAAGTAACTTTTCCAAAGTGATAGCCACTGAAGGCAGAGTTTGAACCCTGGGGTGTGTTCCTGAGCCTGCGCACACTGACAATGGGAATTAAAATGCTTCTCCTCTACTCACTGGGATCCTGTCTTTCACAGATACCCCTTTACACGTGCCACATTTTAAAAGCCTGTTTGGGGCACATTGTTTGTGATTCAAAAAACTAAAGTTAGGCTGCTCCAATCTCTTCAAATATATTACTTCCCCATCCCAGTTAGCCACTGTGGACTAATACAAGCACAGGACAAAGCCACAAGCCAAAGGTCTTCCTAAAGCTGTGGAATGCACAGGAAGAGAACTAGGCTAAGCCTACCCAGGGGACAAGGATGGAGGAAACAAGAAAGGCAGAAGCAGAGGAAGACCAGCTGGGGAAACAGAGCAGCAGCAAGAACACAGCAGATGCCTGATGACGAACATTCTAAACGGAAGCCCAGGCCTCTCCCAAAAGGAGAACTCAGTGACCTCAGCATTTCGAATCACTTCATTCTGACATGATAAAACAAAGTCAGTTACCTATCTCCAAATCTGCAAGCTCCTGTTTTACTGTAGAACGGACAATTAGCTCGATCCTTCTCCATTATTCTTAAATCCATGGGTGGTTCTGGGTTTTGCCATGTAGCACCATTTTCCAACTGTTGAAAATAACCACACCTTTACTGGTAGTGTAAAAACCCATGAAAGACTAAATGTTTCAAAATGTATTACAATCTTTTCCTCAAAATGAAAACTGTTTCATTTAAGAACACAAACATTTACATTGTATTACAACAGCCAATAAAAACTTTACAGACAACTATGCTGGGACGAGCTCTATTTCTCTCTTGGCTCCCAGTCTGTTTCCTTTATTTGGCATCACTACTGCTACGAGGGCAGTCACCAAGGTCTCCAGCCATTCTGAAAAGGGTCCAAGGACTTATTAGAGAACCATCACAGACAGAAATAAAAGTTACTCTGAATCGAGGTAAACCGTCCATTGGGAGTTAACAGTATGTGGTGTTGCTTACACACACTGTAAGGACTCTAGACAAGTACAGTCCACGGGGGTGACTCCACACCATTTGTTTTTGTTCATCAATAAACTTTTATTGTTGTTGTGTAAATAGAAGACCCACGGGTTGGGTGTGGTGGTTCACGCCTGTAATCCTAGCACTTTGGAAGGCCGAGGCAGGAGGATCACTTGAGGTCACGAGTTCGAGACCACCTTGAGCAAGAGCGAGACCCCCGTCTCTACCAAAAATAGAAAAATTAGCCGGGCGTGGTGGTGCACGCCTGTAGTCCCAGCTACTCGGGAGGCTGAGACAGGAGGATTGTTTGAGCCCAGGAGCTGGAGGCTGCAGTGAGCTATGATGATGTTACTGCACTCTAGCCTGGGTGACAGAGTGAGACTGTCTCAAAAAAAAAAAAAAAAAAAAGAGCTACAAAGGTGATTCCAGATATCCAGATGTGATCTAAGTAGCTTACCACAAAACTAACATTACTGGAACTATTGTTTCTAAAGAAACATTAATTGGGCTCAAATTCTTAATGAAAGGTTTTGAAAATACCTCATTTTCAGCCTGATCCAGCATCTTCTGCACAGCTTCCTACAAATGGTGTAAACATAGGACTAATGAAAACCTAGAAGTCAGGTAAGTCACATCTGGTTTCTCGGGTTAAGAATCTCACATGTAACAACTAAAACACACACGCGTGCGTACTTCAGGTTCTAATTTTCCTTCTAAGCATAGATCTTCTGAAAAGCTTTCAAAGGATACATAGCTGAAGTCTCAGCTATATTTCTATTCAAATAGAAAATTTAATAAATCACATTGCAAAATACTTAAAATAGTCATAATAATTTCATTAATAGTAATATTTAGTATATTTGAGCATATATACCATATTCTAGTTTTTAAGAGGAGGCATTCATGAATATAAAACACAATGATAGCTGAAACATAAACATTTAACAGAAGCTAAATATGACATGACCAGCAGTAATTAGCACTTAGGAGAAATTTCAAACTTTTCAATCAGGCAAAGGAAGTTCTGCAATATCCCAGTAAATTTCTACTTTACTGGCATTTGAACAAGTTTTAAATTGTGTACCACAGACTTCTCTTCCCCAGCCCCTTAAAGCATCACGTAAGACTCATAAGTCTAGCTGTTTATTTGGTAACTACACCTTGTCACACAGAGTCCTCGGTAACTTAATGTGCTCAAATCCCTCCCCCACCCCCACCCATCTAAACACCCCTCTGAGTAAATAGTGCTGCCATTTGTCCGCCTGTTGGAATCAAAAACCTGAAAGTATGACTTGAATTCCCCTCCCTTTCCTTCCCTTCCCTCCCATTTAATCTACTAGCTAGAGTCCCACTGACTCTGCTCAACATACTGCAAATCTATGACTTATCTTTATTAAGCACTACCCTCATCCAAACCACCATCATCTCCTGCCTGGAACAGCAGCCTTCTAACTGGTCACTGTATTTCCACTCTGGCCTCCTTGGTCACTGCTCCCTATCCCCCATTCTATATAGCTGCGATCCCCGAGCCCCAGGCCGGTCCGCTCCCCATCGCTCGCCATCCTCCGATCCCCTACCCCCCATCCGTGGAAAAATTGTCTTCCATGAAACCGGTCCCTGGTGCCAAAAGGCTGGGGACCGCTGCTATAGGAAAGGTAGAGTGATCCGTTACAGGTAAAGATATAGGGAGGTGTGGGGGCTCACGACTGTAATCCTAGCATTTTGGGAGGCCAAGGCGGGAAGATTGCTAAGGGCAGGAGACCAGCCTGAGCAATAACAATGAGTCCCCGTCTCTACAAAAAAATAGAAAAATTAAGCAGGCATGGTGGCGTGTGCCTGTAGTTCCATCTACTCAGGAGGCTGAGGCAGGAGGATCGCTTGAGCCCAGGAGTTTGAGGTTGCTGTGAGCTAGGCTGACGCCATGGAACTCTAGCCCAGGCAACAGAGTGAGACTCTGTCTCAAAAAAATAAATAAATAAATAAAGATTAAAAAAAAATAAAATAAATAAGATGAGGTCACTCCTTGCTTAAATACTCTTTAGTGGCTTCCCATTACATGCAACATAAAATTCAAACTCCTCCTTCAAATCCAGGAAGCCCTGTATGACCTGACACTGTCTATCCTGCCCACCTCCTCCCCTGTCCCTTTCCTTCGGTCTCTAGGTTTCAGGCACTCTGGCCTTCTTTCGGCCTGTAGCCTTCAGGCCTCTTCTCCCTGAGATCTCTGTACTCAGGTGTCAGCTCAAATATCAACTCCTCAGAGATTTCCTTGACTAGGCAATTGAAAGAAGTACTTCTCTATCCCCATTACTCTATTACATCATTATCTCCTTTATTTCTTCATAACATTTAATATTATCTTATATTTAAAATGATCTCTTTTTGTTTATTGTCTGACATTCCTATCTAAAAGAATAACCCGATGAGAACAGGGACTGTGTTTTTCACTGTTCTATCTCTGTCCACTACAGAAGTGTCTAGCACACAGCAGAAACACATATTGCATATTCCTTTATATATGCTTAGACTCTATTTCATTTTATCCACTTCTCCTTAATATCTCACCAGACTTCTTTTGAAGAAAAAGCATTTAAAAAGAAACCTTACCTTTTACCTGATTCCTAAAAGACCTCAGTTGAAGAACACTCTATTGTTAGAATGGGACTGGATTCCTCTCTATAAAAATGACAAGCTACAATTTTTCTGTCCCCTAAAAAGCTACTGTGATCTTGCCTCATTTGGAAAGCAGTGCTTAAATAAGGGTGTCTAGAATCAGCATGGAAACTGACTGATGGCTTGAGACACAGAAAACAAAGGTTGTGGAGGCTGCTTCTACCTCATCATGACTAGGATGTAAACACATGCATTCTTCCCCATTATAAGTAATTAACCACTCAATTTTGTGCTATTCAAATTTAGCAATATTATAGAAAAGATACATCCTGATGAATCAGTCAAGGAAAGATGAGAGGTGATATCTTTGAAATAAATATACTGTTAAGGAATAGCAGCAAAACATATCAAATCAATCTTTTAAAAGGAATCCCAGAAGATAGAGAAGATATAAACATATACCTTATAAATGTTTTTTCTTAGTAAGCAACTGTGTTAGCTACAGTTGCCTTTACAGCTCAAGTTGGAAAGGAAGTCAGGATTTAATAAAAACAACAAAAAGTATTTCCTAATTCCTCAATATTGAGTTCCCGATTTCTTTAAATCCACTAATTCTTGCTGACATGTCACAAGCAGTTAGATCTCTTATGAACTAAATAAATGTAGAAACCAAACAAAATATTATTTTCTAAAGACGTCAACCCACATACAGCAGAACCTCAGAAAAACATCACTTGCTATAGAGCAGTAGTAGAGAGTGTAAAGCAAGGGCCAGCTGCCTGTTTTGTAAATAAAGTTTTATTGGTACATGGCCATCCCCATTCATTTACATATCATCTATAGCTGCTTTCAGGGTATACTTGCAGAGATAGATGTTTGCCACAGAGACCAGACAAACCACAGAGCATAAAAATATTATCTGGCACTTTCTAGACAAAGTTTGCCAATCCCTGGTTATAAAAGGTAAATTGGGTAAAGTTGAAGAAAACCTTAATTTAAGGAATATGCTTCTGCACAGACCCAAAGAAGAGCATCAGAGGCAACTCCAGTGTACATCTAGACTGAAAATATGATTATTTTCAAACAAACAAATGAAGCAACAACAAAAAAGGAAAACAAACCCAAACCCAGACATGACTACAGCTTATTCTTAAATCGCATCACACAGCACATCTGTACACTCAGAGGATATGCCGTGTGTCTATCCTCCCACGGCAGGAATCACCTCTCTTTCTTTCTTCTCCTGTAGTTTCTGCTTCTCCTCTTCTCTCTCTTTTCTCTGCTGTTCTTCCCATTCTTCCTTTAACTTTCTCTTGAAAGGAAAAAAAAAAAAGAGAAGGAAAGGTCATTTTTTTCGGACTCACTTTTTAAAAATATTTAATATACAGGGCAAATAAATAAAAAAAACTTTAAAAACCTTGGTAAAATGAACAACAGTTTTTTTTTTAAGTTCCAGATAAGGAACTCTAAACGACGGTTATTTTGGTTAACTAATTAATTGGTTCACTGGTTACGTGATTAATACTGTACCTCTTGCTCTTCCTGCCGTTTCCTAGCTGCCTCTTCCTTTTCCTTCTTTATTCTGAATTCTTCTTGTGCCTTCTGCTCTCTCAGCAACCACTCCTCATGCAACTTTTGCCTATCAATATAATGATACAATCAAATAAAAGAAATGGGCATTGATTTACAAGTACATACATATGCATATAGTAGCAAAATGACATGTTTTGGGACTGATTAAAATACCATGAAGGATAAAGCAGTCAAGTGTGGGTAAGAGAACGAGAAGAGTAGAGCTTCTAGAAAAGCACTAAGTGTCAGCAACTATCTTCCTAAATGGTAATAACTTAAAATCCCTACTTTTACATTTCATAGGTGTGTATGGCTGTGACATCTTTTAGAAAAAAAAAAAAAAAAGATGCTATGACATTCCCTTTAGGCTGATCACAGTGATTTTGGGTGCCAATAAAGTGGGTAGCAAGTTTCAAAGCAACATCTAGCTTTTCACACTCAGAAAGCATTACCCTTTCTAGTCTATGCATTTAAAAGTGGCAATTCCGTGACAGTAGCACTCTAAAAAACCCAGCATCTTCTGCCATAAACCTTTGGAGTACTACTACACACAGTTGCCTCTAAACACCTAAACTGCTGAATGAAGGAAAATAAAGCTACATTGTGATTATGTCTTTAAAATAAGGGAAGATATAGGGTTTTAAAAAAAAATTTCTGAACACTCCAGAGGAGAGAAGAAAGCTATAGGTTTTAAGAAAAGATAAAGTTATAAAAATAAATTAGCAAGCATCTAGTCTATTTTTTAAATTGACCAATTATAAAGAGTGATGTTACCTTAAAGTGGCAAGTCCCTCAGACATCCAACATAACAAGTTTCTAATTTAAAGGGGGGTCAGATTTCCCAAGTTTATTTACCAATCAAGTGCTTAGAACCTAGATTTCATTTTTTCTACTGAATTTGGAAAAGGAAAATGAGATATGAGAAATTATTCTGTATTAGTTCAGCAACATTAGGAGTTAAATAAGGTTTTATGCCTAGCCTGGGGACCTAACCACAATTTTAAATATTCTACGGGAAAATACATTTCCAACTTCAGATTCCAGGAACATATCTTTTAGCCATGGTAGAGGCTGATGTATTACATATGTCAATGTTCCTATGCGTGTTTGGGGTACTATATAGATGTTTCAGTATTCAGAACTCTTATTTACAAATCATTTGAGGAACATATTAATTATATATAACTGAACCAAATGGTATATAATTTAAGACCACAAAAAAGTAAAATGCTATGAACTTTAAAAGTTAATAACTTGAATGTACTATATGTCTGTTTTAAAATAGGACATAAAGCCATACAGTATTTTCACATAACTAATTTTCCTGTTTTTTAATAAAGCAGTATGCAACTCATAGTAATATAAAATAAAGATAAAAATACACATAGATACATGTATGTAATTTAAAACAAGCATTTCAAATAAACGGGAAAACAAAAAAACTACTTCCCTATTTCATACCATATATATCATCTGCATCGTAACAGAAATCTATAATAATTAGAGTTATTACAGCACCTCCTATCTGCTGACACTGTTTTAAGCACTATACGTGTATCACCTCACTTAATCTCCACAATTCTATGAGGTAGACACTATGATTGATTTTACCTCCACTTTAAAGACAAGGAAATTGAAGCTTAGAGAGATTAAGAAACTTGAACACAGCTAGTAAGTAGCAGGGCCAGGTCTGGAACTCAGGACTAGCTGAATCCAATTCCATATTCTCAATCACTACTGGTCTTTTAATTTTTTTGGCATTTTGATAATTCTACCTATTTATGGGCTTAGGTAGATAACAAGAATCAATTACAAGGAAAGCAACATTTCCAGTGAACATACTAAATAGCTAGAGAATGTATATAAAGTTTTTTTCTTTTTTAAAATGTTTTTTAATTATGGTAAAATAGACATAACACAAAATTGACTAGTTTTATCATTTTTAAGTGTATAATTGAGTGTCATTAAATATATTCACACTGGTATGTGCCACATTAAAAAAAAAAAGAAAGATGGAAAGAAACTACCCCCTGAAAAAATATTAACAGAAAAAACAGCAGAATATTTCCATCATCTTGGGATAGGGGAGACCTTTTCAGTCAGACACCAAGGCCAGATATCATGAAAAAAGATATCATGAAAACCAAATCACAGTAAGTAATGCTGTAAGCAAAGTTAGGATGAATGACAAATAAGAAAAATATGCATCACATATATGACAGATAAAGAATTAACACCCTTAATCAAGTAATAAAATTGCTTACAAAACAAATTAAAAAACATGTATCCAAAAAGAGAAAGGTATAAGACTTAAGCAATCTATAAATAGGTAATAAAACACATAAAAAGATAGTCAACCTCACTAGTTCAGAAATGTATGTTTGAAACAATGAATATAGCTTTTCACTATTATGAGTTTCAAAATTTGATAATGCCTAGTGTGAATGAAGGTACAGGGAGAGGCACCTTTATTCACTGCCATAAAGGCTGCAAATTGGGATGCCCTTTCTACATGGCCATCAACATTATACATGGACTTATCCTTTGATCCCATCAATTTCATTTCTAGTCATTTTCCTAAGGAAATAATAGGACAATTATCAAGGATATATAAGCATGGATGCTCACTGCAACTTCTTATATAAAAGTAAAAAACCATTATAACCCAAAAGTCCATCAGTAGAGAATAAATTATGAATGAATGAATTGTGAATAAAGAATAAATTATGCTAGATCCATACACTGGATACTGTGCTGCCATTAAATAGGGTGAATTAGATCTCAGCATCGACATTGAGATATATGCACTATATATTTAGCAAGAAAGCAATTTATAGAAACATATGTATAAATATCATCCCATTATAGAAATACACAAGTATATTTACATTTTCTTTCTTTTTTAAGAGTGGCTATTGGCCAGCAAACATATAAAAAAATGCTCAACATCTCTAATCATTAGAGAAATGCAAATCAAAACCACAATGAGATATCACCTAACCCCAGTGAGATTGGCTTCTGTCAAAAACTCCCAAAACAACAAATGCTGGCAAGGATGTGGAGAGACAGGAACACTTTTACACTGCTGGTGGGACTGCAAATTAGTGCAACCTCTGTGGAAAAGAATTTGGAGATACCTCAAAGAGCTAAAAATAGAAACACCATTCGATCCAGCAATAGCACTATTATTAGGCATCTACCCAAAAGAGCAAAAGATATGCTATAATAGAGACACCTGCACCCAAATGTTTATGGCAGCACAATTCACTATTGCAAGGATGTGGAAACAACCCAAGTGCCCATCAATTCATGATTGGATTATTAAAATTTGGTATATGTATACAATGGAATATTACTCAATCATAAGAAACAACAGTGATCTAGAACCTCTTATATTTTCCTGGATAGAGCTTGAGCCCATTATCCGAAGTGAGGTATCACAAGAATGGAAGAATAGGCACCACATGTACTCGCCATCAAATTGGCACTGACTGATCAACACTATGGTGCTCACATGGTAGTAATATTCTCCAGGGATTAGGGGGTTGTTGGGGGTTAACTCACAACTAATGGATGTGGTGAGTATTTTAGAGGGGAAGGGCATGCCTCTAACCCTCGCTTGAGTGAGGCGAAGACAAAATGTAACCAAAATGTGTGTACCCTCATAATATCCTGAAATAAAAAAAAAAAGAGTGGCTATCTTTGGGTGTGTTGCATTTATTACAGCACTTTTGCTTTTTACACTTGTTAATTATTTGGGTTTTTTTCTATTTCAAAATCATTTAAAAATTAGCAAAAACAGTGAAGAATATTTCCATTAAAAAAATGATAACACCTAGTTTTAGCCCATCAGCTAGAGATTTAAATAGTTTATACATGGTATTTTATAAGACCTATTTTGTAAAACATTTTATACAGAAAACCCATACTAGTTAGTAAAGGTTGATAATATTCCAAAATAACTTTATTCACTTTAAGTATCTCAATTAGCGCTGACCTCTCTCTCTCCAACAATTTCTCTTCTTCCAGTTGTTGTTCTTCAATGAAAGTGTCCTCCTCCTCTTCCTTCTGTGAGAGTCCTGAGGAAATTAAGATGGTTATTAAACTATCTGAGTATTGCAAATCCTTGGTCAAAAATTCAGGAAAAAAATACATACAATCTTTAATCTTTACAATTATGGTTAAAACCCATTTCTAAAACTTTCTAATATTAAGAGCTCTAACCACCCTTATTTGGTACAATGTAAGCATCAAAAAGAACAATAATGGTAGTGCACAACATATTAAACTAAAAAATCAATGGTTTCAAAGATACACAAAAAGGTGGTGGAGGTGTGGGAAGGAAGCATGATAACTTAAAAGTGTAGAAAGACTTATTGTAGAAAAATCATCACTTTTGTAACCCCTCACTGTAAAAACTTAGACAAAGATGTTAAAAACACTGGATGAAAGCTTGTTGGGAAGAGGATATTTACACTATTTCAAAGTATCACTCCACAGATCAGGACTAATTACAAATGGGGAAAAATGTACCTTTAAATGGAACAATCTAACGAGTAACACTTTAACCACACTTAGCATCATTAGGGGTGGAACAACCTGACAGGATGGGTCTTGTGATGTATGCAATTAAGAAGTTTACAACGTCCACTCTGTAATCGTTTCTCATAGAAAGTGCCATCTGAAGCTAATCATGAGACGACAGACTAATCCAGAATGCAGGGCATTCCACAGGATAACTGGCTTGAGCTTTTTAAAACAATCAGTCCTGGTTTGGGGAAGTTTAAATACAGCCTGTATATCATACCATTGAATTACTATTTGTTTACTCAGGTGCAAGTTTGGTATTGTGGTTCTGTGGGAGAACTTCCTTATTCTTAGGAGTT